AATCTTGGGCAGCCTGGTTTTACTGTTGTAATGACCACATAGTTTCTCGGCAACTGACGTGAAAAAATCATTAAAGCTAGTAGCCGTTAGATATTCAGAGGCTGGGGCATTCGAAGTTTTGTATTGCTTCTTGTTTGGTAAAAGCTCGTTCATAGTTTTCCACAGTTTACGCTAGTCCTTTTTTTTTAGAAGGATGCAAAACTGAGCCGTTTTTCACCTGATTTATTAATGAGTTTGAGAAGCCGTAATCATATTGTCGGGGATTCACCCAGAGCAGCTACTTTCACTTTCTATTGGACTTCCTTGAAGACATCTCTCACTTACAATTTTGTGGTTTATTAATGAGTTTGAGAAGTAAACATATTCTCTCGGGGATTCTCCCAGAGCAGGTACTTTTACTTTCTATTCGGCTGCTGGCTTCCTTGAAGAGCATATTTCACTTACAATTTTGTGAAATCGCTTGTGTCTAAGGCTCCAGCTGAACTATCAGAGCACTTGAGGTGTACCAGCTGATAACTCAAGGCTTTTGGAAATCTTTACCTTTTATTGGTAGTGGATGTCTTAGAGACCAAACTAGAGAAACAAAGGTGAGATTGCCTTCATTTCCACGCCTTTTTCGTGTTCTAAATACGTGCTTTGCATAATCCATGTACACAAGGAGGTACTTTGTGAACTTGTTAGATCATTTGAGTCAATCAGTAAACCACGATTACAGGACCACACAACGAGCTGCCATGATATAAGCGACTAGCGGAACTCATTGAAGTGATTACAACTACCTATGGTTTGCATGGGACCATTATAGAAAATGGCCAGAAATTTATCAGCATCTTTTTGAATCTCTTCCTTCTTTACATCTGCGAAGTTTCCAAAGCTTCGCAATCGATGTTTTGACTTGAAAACATTGATGAAGCAAGCATTATTAATTAGTTTTGTGCTGCACTCTACAGGGCGTAACACATCGATCGAAATCGATCATCGGAAAGCTAATCGATAAATCGATACTACTCGATGTTACTCGATAATAATCAATCGATTAAGCAAATTAATCGATCAAAATCGATAATCACACAAGTTTGACCATTTGGTATCGATTTCTATCGATTTCGTGAAATTTTCGAAGATTCCACGAGAAAACAACCGCTCATAATCTGCCCCGAGTAAGCCAATTTGATCGAAACAATAGTGTTGAATATATTTACTACAAAGCAAGACTGGCTTAGTGCACCCTGTATTAACTCTGATTAACCATCGCTTTCATACCTTAACACCGGCTATTAAACAACGCCGAACAACGGCAACTCTCAGGCGTCAAACTAGCAAACCTCAGCAAACGCATTTTGTCAGCAGCCATCATTTTCGGTTTGAGATTAAATTCTTTGACCCACCGACCCATTCAGCATTCACCGGCCCATTCATTCTGCATTCAGTATGCTGCTGAGTATATTAGAAAAATGTGCAAATATAGTCAGTCACGGATAGTAGACAGAACACCTTTAGCCGGCTTTAGCGTGTTTGTCAAACGCATCGGCGAGAGCAAGGCGCGATAGCTAAGAAATTAGGGGAGACTGGGGCGAGGGGGTGGGGTGCCCGCGGCATTTTATCAGATCCTGTTTTGAACAGCGTTTGTGCCATTCTCAGCATTTTTATCAGTTTGATATGAAGTTACTGTTACTGTTACTGTTACTGTTACTGTTACTGTTACTGTTGTTTTGTTACTTTGTTGTTTTACTGTTGTTTTAAAAGATATGAAATACAATGTAGATAGTAATTAACGTCAATTTTTAAGGTGAATCATTTCTTCGTTTCGATACCCGCGAGAAGAATATATATGTTCATGTCTTACAGTGTTTCACAGCGTCTAAAAGGTTAGGAGAGACAAATAAAAGATTGTTCAAACAAACTTCATTAAAATGGAATCTTTTAGCGGGAAACCGGTTGTTTCGCTTAGTAGTTGTTTCGCTAACGAACGTCTTAGGTTAGTTCGCTAACGTATATTCTTCGTTCTATAAGCGTGAACAGTACCTTTTCTTGCCCAATATTATCGATCGAAATAGATACTAATCGAACGAGATCGATACTAATCGAACGAAATCGATACTAATCGAACGAAATCGATCAAATCGATAATCACAAAGAATCTGGCGATCGATTTTTATCGATTTCCGATATTAATCAATTGATTAGTATCGATGTTTATCGATGTTTATCGATTTTGATCGAGTATCGGAATTATCGATGTGTTACGCCCTGACTATATCTCTGAGGTAGAAAGTTATTGCTTGACGTCTTAAACTCTTAACTCGTTCTTCGCTTTTGTTAGTCGTAAGAAAGAATTAGATTTTAATATTAGACAAAATTTTATTTTAGGATTTGTTATTTGGGTGGCTAGCCCGAGTCGTATCCGAATGATATGGCACAAATGTGCAAATTATAAAATCACGCGAAAGCAATGCTACGCGAGCCTCAAACAAAACAAAAGCTCAAGTTTTCATCACACACAATTAAAAATCATGGAATCAAAATTGGTTGTCTTTTCATTAGGCCATTATGTAAGAGTTAAGAGATGCTAGTTTTACTTAACCAAAGATACGTGTGTGAAGGCCTAAGTAAAATCTCAAGTTATTTTACTTTGCATCTCATTAACGTCGGAAAGTTGAAATGATTCAAGAAAAGTTTCAAGTGACTTGAAAATAAGGTCTTTCGGATTGTGCCGGCATAATTTTGAGTATAATACTATATCTGGAGCGTCAAGCATGATGTTGGCATAATACTAATATTTTTTGCAGTATAATGCTGTTGTTTCTGAAAACTGTGAAAAGCGTATGCAAATTTTGCCAGCAACTCCAGCTAGAATGTACAATGTTGATAGAAGTACCTTAGACTCGTCGCAGTGCATTCTGGTATAAGCGAAAGGCCTGGTTACCTCTTTATGCCAGGCTCCCAAGTTTGTATATAGCCAAATGTTTAACTGAATTTAGGCTCTAGTCTCTGGGTGTAAGCTGAGAAATATTTCAAGACAAATTAATTTTAAATTCTTCAAGTAAAAGGAAGCTTCACACATAATAAGTCCATTATTCCCACGCAACATAATTAAGAATGAGTTATGCTTATATCTCTCATATAATAATTCAGATTAAGTAACATCCTTCGCCTTTCTCAAAGCTCAAGAAACCGCAAGTTTGCAAAGTCGATTTTAAGGATGGTTTTCAAGTCACTTGAAACTTTTCTTGAATCGTTTCAACGTTTGTTGAGATGCAAAGTAAAATAACTTGAGATTTTACCTAGGCCTTCACACACGTATGTCACGTATCTTTGGTTAAGTAAAACTTAGCAGCCCTTAAGTCTTACTTATTGGCTTAGTGTAAAGACAACCATTATCAGACGAATGTTTTTTCAGTCATGTGTATCTGTATTTTTGAACAAGTATGATTTGTGAGATGAATCGTACTCTCTGCTTTCATACAAGACCCATACAAAGATGAACGACGAAGGACGAATATTTTCCATTTCGAGAATTTTAAGAACGAATTTGCCTTGCAGTTTTGAGGCTGCACAATTTCTAGCAGGTCCCCTTAACCTCTCCGCTTTTAGAAATTACACTGTAAGTGTTTTTGTTCAGTTTCCTTTGCTTGAGGTTTTTGTCGAGAATCCAAACAGGATGAAAGTCTTGGATCAGAGATATCCGGCTAGTTTTTTTTAGCAGACATAAAGTGAATCGTCTACGAAACTTAACCATCGAAGTTTGGCATGCCTTCGACAAAAGATCGTGTCTTGCATGAATTAAAATTTTATGTGTCTGTCCTCTTACTGATAATAAAAATTAGCCAATCAGCGCGCGAGAAATAATTCAGTTATTGTAAAAAATATTTTATACAAGGTTACAAGATATATTTAATCGACTTATCATAAAACTCTGGTAACTCTTGAGCAGGTCAAATGTAAAAAATTTTAAATAACTATGAGTCATCCATAGGTAAGTCATCCATAAGCCATTTATGCTTTTAAAAGCCAGAATCAATAACATCGAAGGAAAATATACCTCATTGCACTGATAACCTTCAAAATTTGGCCAGTTTCAATTAAGCCATCCGGATACTGGCATGCCTTAAATTGTAGTAATAGTGTTTTTAACAGATGTTACATGTTTCACTCTTTTGTTTGACTGTTACGCCACAATCACAAGAATTGCAAGGATTATAAATTTCTCGAATTCCAGCTTGAAACAATGCTGAAAAAAAGGGGAAAAAATACGGTTTTATGACGTAGTGTTAAAAATCACAATTTATTTGGACAGTCAAATCGTGGCGGACCTATTAAAAAATCATCAATCGTCAATCATAATAATCATCTTAGATCATAATCATAATCATCAATTATAATGATAATTATAGTCATCATCTTAGATCATAATCGTAATCATCTTAGATCATAATCATAATAATAATTATCTTAGATCATAATCATAATCACATTCACAATCATAATCGTAATAATAATCATAATCAAAACGCTTCGTAAACATTTGCAACCTATTAACAACCAACGTGAATGAAATCAAGCGAATATAAATCCCCTTTGTTGTATCCTGTTCCACTCAGCAGTTAGTGGATGGTGGGAAATTATAATAATAGGTGCGATGACGCTAGCATTCTATCCTTAACTAAATAGTTCTTACCCAAGGGAATGCAACCGTTTTACGATTGAGTCAGTTTTCAATATTTACGAGGACTTTTACCATACCGGGTTTACGTTTTTTTTCCGTGAGCAATTTTGTAGGCGTGAAACTACAAACATGAAAGTGATTAAAACCAAGGGCGATCCTAACCCAGCGCGCTATTCCTTAAGGGGAGCTTTGGGCAAAAAGTCAAGTGTTACTTCACCTAATACAAAGCACAATTTTAGGAGGGGGGATTTACTACTATGTTCCTCGCCCATCTTAACCGTTTCATTTGTTTTTAACTTATCTTTTTTGTTTTCTATTTAGGTGATTGCCAAAGATGTCGCTTTCTAAAGAAGAGAAGAGATGGATAGTTGTAGGGATTACCATGAACAAAGTTGCTGCTCCTGTTTTACGGGATGCGGTCAAACAAGGAATGGAGACTCATCATGCAAACCTGGACAAGCACTGTCAAGGACTGGCCCCATCTTGTACTTTACAGTCATTAACTCATGCTGTGGTCAAATCACCTGCATCCATCTTTCGAAATTTGAAGTTTCGAAATATTAATGACAATGAAAATTTACATGGAACAGCCGAAAGGAAATATAACTATAAGATAAATGACTCCATAGATTTGGCCAAGTTATATCTGCCTGGGTATCTGGCTCAGTTTTCAGCCTTTGAAGCGCTGGACATGACTGCCATCCTTCGCCTCTTGGGATATAACAACTATGTTCCGACCAGTGTGTTCCACTCAGACACCCAGAATTCAGCAGATGATGTCAGGGAAAATGTCAGAAACAAATGGGGCCATTATAATGAAACCGAGTGGACAGACACCTTCTTCCACGATTGCTTTGACAAAATGAAAACATTGGTTAAGAGTCTGGGACTGACAGCAGATGTGGAGGAAAACACTTTGGCTCAATTTGTTGAATGGCAAAGCAAAGGTAAATTCTCTCAACCAAGATTGCATATGACAAAAATTGCAGATACAACTGGAAGTGTTTGGGCTGTATATTGTCCCTTTTTATGATGAAAACCCTCCGTCAAATGCAGTTAGTTGTTCAGTCAACGCATTCTATGCCACACGAATCCGCCCCACCTCGAAACGCTTACATGGCAAAAATTGACCCCGTCTGAGATCCGGCCTGGAAGACCGGGCAACCCGCCTCGGCAGGTCATCCCACCTATCATAATTAATAGACCTTTTTACCGATACGGCGGCCATATTGAAATTATTAGATTTAAGGAGTATTATGGGATGCCCAGGGGGTACTCGCTCAGTATTTAAGCGCGCTTTTCGGGCAAAGAGAGAACTTGCATGTATATTTCTCGGGAAAAAGGCGATCATTATTATATCCAAACTCGGCACAATGATCTTTTTTTCCATTACAATGATTTTGTAGGAAAACTTAAAGAAAACTTAAAGAAAAATTGGCCCGAAAAGCGCGTGTATATACTGATGCGAGAATATCAGACCGTGTTCATCCTCCCTGGGCATCCCATAATACTCCTTAAATCCAATTAATTCAATATGGCCGTCGTATTAGTAAAAAGGTCTATTGTGATTGAAATGAGAGATTATATGGACAGGCGGGTTACCCCACCTAAGCGGGTTACTTCACCTACCTAGCTACCCCACCTCCATATAAACAGGTCCTTACTTTAAGTAGCCACATAACTGCGAAGAGAGAATTTACTGTCGTTAATTTTGTTTGCTTTCTTTGATTAAGTCTTTTTTAAAATACTTAAAGTTTACCTTTACCGGCCGTAAACAACCTGTCGTTATTCACTGGGCGTTAAGGTATTTTGCCAAGTCATAAATGTAATAAGCCTCCAAACTGTAATCAACCTGAACTCCTGACAAAGCCGCCTGATCCACCTGTGTAACTTTTGGAAGTGATTTAAAAGTATTAGAATAAGCTTTAGTTGCCACCCTCAGTTGTCTGTAATTTGACTCACTGGAACGTGAAGTAATCTCTGAATTATTCAGTACAAATTAAAGAACACGCAGAATAACTTACAAGACAATGATTTCGAACTACCAAGAGACGATACTGTAGTTCCGATATGGCACACACTCTATAAAATACTTGGGGCTTCTCATTTGGTCTAAGCTACCCAGAAATCCAGGAAGTGCCGAAAGTTTTAATTCATTCAAGAGGAATATCAGGAAATTCGACCTTTCCAGACTCGTGAACTAATATTCACATGTATCACCAGTATAGTCACAATAAACTGCAGAAAAAGATGCTTAGAAAGAAATATAGAACGTATATAGTCTATGTTTTTCTTTTTTTTGCAATTTTTACTAGGGGTATTAATAATGTATATAGTCTTTGTGTCCCCATTAGCTGCAAAGGTCAATACATCTATACTTACATAACGTTTTCGTTCTATCACTCATTCATCTGTATTGCTTCGCTAGCTTAGGCGTAAACAAGAGTGCATTGTAAACGTGTTCGTGTAAACTAGAAATTAAACTAGAAACAAGTGTCTCGCAGAACTTGCCAAAGCTGAGGGGAAAGGATCAATAGAAGGAAATAAATAGGGGGAGGGAGGAAGCCAATAAAAGAAAGAAAAAGGTACATTGTCGGGACTCGAACCCAGGAATGAAGTAGAAAAGGGCGGCAGCTTTGTCATCAAAACCTACGTCAGTGTTAAGTTCGATTCGGTCAAAAGGTTCCGTTTAAGAAAAAGAAATGAACATTTCTTAAACGGTTGGAGGTTCAAATTGTGGTGGCATAAAGATGGTTATATAAGGCCGATTAAGGGCTACATAAGCTAAATATCAATTGTAATTATGAACAGAACGTACCTCTACACGACACCCAGTGCTCAACAAAAATGGTAAAAGTCATAAAAATTCGCTGTAGAAGCTTATAGAATACATGAATGTTTTTTTTTCAACAGGTTGTCAGTTGATCATGGGTAATAACGTAGACAGAGAGCTTCTCCAGTCAATACTATGTGAAGTGAAAGTACTCGTCAATGTATTCACGACCATCCAATCGCAACTGGGAAATCGGCTTCCAGAGGCAAAGAAAGAAGAGGTTCCAGATGTCTTGCCCAGACTGCAGTCGTTCGAACAACAGTTGAGCAGGGGTTTAGCGTTAGAAGGTTTGAAAGGTTGGGTAGAGACGCTTCTCTGGTTAGGGATTCCTCTTGGGGTCCCTTTTTGGCTCCCTGCATGGCTCTCTTTTTGGCGTAGATAATTACCATAAAAGAGGTTCATAACAATACAGCTCAATTTAAAACTTTCCTACCAAGAAAATGAGTATGCCTTCTTAAAACTAACAAAAGGTCGCTGTTTGTGCACTTTTCTGATAAGGCTTTCAAGCATTTTTTACGAACGATTTTTTTAATTTTAACAAATAATCCTTTTCCACTGCTGCTAATGATCTATAGCTCTTATTACTGTTTTAAATAAGTGCTTCCATGCACTACTTCATACAGTGTATACTTTTTTCTATACTATGTTTTTAAAACCGTTGAAGTAGGACCATTCGGATTTCACAAAGTTTATGTGTTTCAGGTGATTGTTTGGGTAGTCTAACTCGTACAAGTATGTCAAACTCACCGAGTTGGAAACTTTTCTATTTTCCTTGTATTATCTAACTAGATCTATGTCTTCCTTTTTATTATTTTTTTTATCGTTTCCTCGCTGCTTTTCCATCTTTTCCCTTCACTCTTCTAAACTTCTAAACGTCTTTAGCAAGTATTTTTTTCTCCAATGTTCATCAACTATTCTACTACAGTCGAACCTTCCGTAAGCGACTAGTCAAAATGCGAAGATTAATGGTCGCTTACGAGAATCGAGCCACATGGGTTTCTTTTCTTTTCTTTTTTTTTTTCAGAGAATTTATTGTATGCAAATTATAATTTACGAAAAACGTCTAGTTCAATGTTGCCACGGAATAGAAAGTTCTTTATTTACTCTGAGTGGCGTAGTACATACAGCGCAAAAGAGACCACACCACGTGTCAAGCATCAAGGGTCGCTTACAAGAGGTTGAAAACAATGGAAAACTGTATAACGATCAGGCCAAAACGTGGTCAAGGTTGCTTATGGGAGGTTATCGGTTGCGAGAGGTAGTCGTACATGGGGGTTCTACTGTACTCTAAGACTCGCGCTTTACAGAGTGACTTTCTTATGGATTCTTTATGTACGTGCAATTAACTCATTCATTTAATCAAGTTTCTCTTATTAATATGATTCAATTTTGAAACGAACTCATGTAAACTGTCTTCCTGCTGCTGACATTGCCTGTAGTAGTATGATAGGGATGAAGTTACTCTTGTATGGGCAGGAATCTCATTTACACGCCGATAACATCATAGCCTTTTGTCTTTACGTAAAGTTCCGAAAGCAACGATCCCCCAAAAGTAGCGATAAAATTTCACAGGTGTTAGTAAATCCCGAAATTAGCGACCACCCAAAACATAACGACCCTCCGAAGGTAGCGAAGGTTTATATTTATCTTTAGATGGATGATGTCATAGTTTATTTTTAATTATATGCGTCATTTCCTTATGTGGGTATTTTAAGGTTTAATGGATCGTATCCTTATTTGGGTATGATAGTCTCCAAGCTCTGTTTGGATGATCGATTGGTCTCTCAAGACACAATTTGGTTGGTTGCCGGCATTTTCCTATTGTTCTTAAAAACACTAAACCCTTCTGTTAAATTTTAACTGACTTAAAATCACTGAATCTCACGTAATTATGAAAGTTCTACTTCCAGCAAATTGTTTCAGGTCCGATTCAATCATTGATTCCGGATGCGCAAATCGTGAACATTAATGAGATCCGAGGCAAATAGCATAATAGCTCTTTCGAGCACGAAGCAAATTCTTTAACTTACCCCACTCCACCTTGTTCTCCTCCCCAATTCAGTTATTTCGCTCCACCTCAAATTTTTACTTTTCCCTTCGCCACCACCATGTTAGGATTTCCTTGCAGTTCCAAACAGAAATTGACTTTTTGTTGTGGTTCGTTGCTCATTACTTTGAACTGCATGGTTGGGGTAGCCTGTGGTTAAAAATTAACAGTTGTTGGAAGAAAAGGCTAGAGGTGATCTTCTTGTTTTAACTTTTCTCAGAAGTGGAGCTCAGTGATAAGCGAGATCGCTTGCTTGCAACATATGTTATTTCTTTGTTGCTTATTATTGACTAAAGTGAGTCATTGAAAAGTTCCAAAACATTTTTTCATACGGGGTGCATCCTCTTGTATTCGAGACGTTTAGGTAACGGAGGGTGTGTGAGTGGGGGGGGGGAGGGGGAGGGGGTCTCACTCATCCTGACCTTAAGAGGTTATTATAATCAACGTCAGCAAA